AACGGGAGTTGAGGGGCAGGCGCTCTGCGCCGGGCTGCAGAGCGGTGTCCTGGGGGCAGGGGAGCACCTGGGGTTTGGGGACGGGGCGGTGAGGATCCAGGTCTCTGGGAAACGCAGGAGTGGTCCACTTGCCCCCTGGGATACGGAGGAGTAAAGCATGGAGACCGTGGGCAGCGCTTTCCTCTCGAGTTACAGCCAGGGCTTCGGGGGCGACGGAACTTAACTGGGATTTTAGAGTAAAAGGTGATCTGAGCCCCTCGGATCTGGGGAGCCTCGGATTAGGCGGAAAAGGCCTCGTGGAGAAAGCAGGGCTGGTGCTTAGAGTGGACCGTATTTCAGTCGTGCGGTAGTTGCTTCGGAGGGAGGGCAAACCTGGACGGAGTAGAAGGGTACTGGAAGGAGAAGAGGCCTGAGGATGTCGCAACTGGAGAAACCTTGAGCTTTAAGCCCACCTGTGCCTTCTTGAAACAGAATCGGAGTCCAAGCACTAACCATGATTCCTTGCTCTCCCCTGCTACCTCCTACCTTTGGGCTCCATCTCCTTTTTCTCCCTGTTCTGATCAGTTTAGCTCCTGAATGTTGACAAGTTTTTATGGCGGAGTCCTTTCCGCACCTTGTAGTGATTAATTCTCAATGTGCCCGTAGCCTAAGCTCCTACTGTTTAGCGTAACCGCGCAAATTCTAAGGACTCACTGTCCTTTCTAAAGACTTTTCCGGTCATAGAGTACTTGTATGGATTCAACTCTCATCCACAAGGCTCTTGGGGGGGGGGGCAGCAATTAGGTTTATTTACTTATTTATTCTTAGATGAGGTCCTGGGGATTGAACCCAGGACCTCATGCATGCTAACTAAGCCTGCACTCTACCACTTCAGCTATATCCTCTCCTGAAAGGCTCATTTTTTAAAAAAGTGTATTTCATTTAGGACTCTTCTGTTTCAGTCAGATTTGGTACAGTACCCTGTACCCATCAAACACCATTTTCTCCAATATGAAATTTGTTGCGTTTCGGAATGTCTGCTTTTGGATACATATGGGTGTACATGTCACAACTTATCCAAAATAGACATTTGGAGAGAGAATGGCAGCTGGGCTAATCTACAGACTAGACAGTAAAGAGAGAAGATGAGGAAAAGAGAGTCTGCTGGGATCCATTTCGGTACTGTCCTAGCCAGGCTTCAAAGATTTCTAGCAGCGCACATGGGGACGTTATTTGGAGCGGTAGGCGCGCCCACCGTTGATGCCACTGGTACTTCCTTTCTTTGATACTCCTTTGCTTTCATGCCCAGCAAGCAATTATC